TGATACAGGCGTGGGAACTCTTCAAGGAAGAAGAGAGTTCCGAGGCTCTGTAATGAACAAGAGAGAAGAGAGTGTTGAAGAGAGAGAAAGAAGTGAGGAGAGAAAATATCTCAAAATGTATTCTGATTACCATATCAATGGAGTTCCAGCCTTACATAGGCACCCCTTACACACATGGTGGAAACTAACTCATTCACTTACAATAAGTAAAAAGAACATGGGTTAAAAATAGAATTAAGGAAGAACAGTAATTGAGTAAAGCCCGCATCATTCCTTCCCCCTTAGCCAAAGCTTTGTCCTCAAAGCTGGACGTTGGAACCTTCTTCATGGAATCAACAGACCACTCCCACGTTGTTTCTTCAACTAGAATCTCTTGCCAACTCACTAGAACGGCACCCCTTCTGTGTTTGCTCTTTTCAGAAATCTTCTTATTAGCTTTAGGCTGAGAGTGAGTCTTAAATTTGGGTGGAAGATGAAGTTTGTAGACCACCTTTCCCTCTTTAGAAATAACATGAAAAAGGCCCAAAAGGCAAGCCCCATCTTTTACTGGACTTAAGTGGCTGGCTAACAGCTGCATTTGGCTTTGTGCCCTTTGTAACTGCCATTTCAATTGGTTAAACATAGCTATATCCTCCCCCTGCTGTAAGGACCTGTCCACTATCTTCACATTAGTTTCTCCAGACAAGCAAGGCTTTGGATTGTGGAAGCACATCCCCCTGAGGTAGGTTTCCAAATGCTTGTTGATCCATTCAGTTTGTCTAAGTTGCTTCCATTGCACCCTCTTTGGACAGAACTTGGGAAGGGCCGAGATACCTGGATCCCAAATTCTCTTAACATGCATCTGTTTTGGGTTTCTTCCAAACAGCTCAAAGTTGAGGATGGTTATTGGAATCACCTGAGATTTTGGCAGTCCCACTATGAAGCCCCTAAAAACCTCTCTCCAATTCCACACCTTAGTAGAGATCTGTGATGGCTGGAGTTGCTGATTGTATTCCTGCAGTTTAGGGCCAAGAAACCAACTTTGTTTGATATCATCCAACAGAGAAGAGCTCCTCCTCAGCTGATCTTGCCCCTCTTCATGTCCTTGTTTGTAGTGAACCCCATAAATATAGCTCATTAGATTGGATAACCAAAACTGTAGGCAAGGCATTGTCGCTTTGCCTTCTAATAGCCATATGGAGCTCTTTTGATCCGTTTGGATGATAATGGATTGGTGGATTGGGAGCAAGGCCATTTGCAGCTCTTTCTCATAGGTGAGTGTTGGCCACCTCATCATAGTTTCCATCTTGGTGATCACCTCATGAATTGCAAGGTAACATTGAGCTACTTCCACGACAATATAAGGGTGATTCAGTTTCATAAAATGAGTACACCACTGCCTAGCAAGTACCATTGCTAAAGTCAATAATTTCTTCTCATTGGTGGGGTTTTGACATCCCTTTACAGCTCCTATCTTGCTAGAGTCAGTAAGTA